GTTCAAAGTTTTAAGTACCTTCATCATACATTAAATCTATTTGATAATATGATGCCTCTGGTGTAGGAGTAAAAATTTATGAGCTATTTAGTTATTTTATCACAAAGAGAAGTTTAAAATGTAAAATTTCAATTAGAAGAGAAGAGCATATAAGGGCCGATTAAAAAGGAAACCCTTGCCTTACTGGGCCACAACTTCAATGGACTTGGACAGCCTGCTTTTCCTCCAGCCTCTTGCAGGCATCCTATCAGTGTCTTTTCTCCACCTTCATCCCTACACACAGAAGACATCAGTGTTCCCACCAGGCTTTTCTCCCTTTACATGAGCTCCTGTTGTTTCACCCACTCTCACGGTTTCAAATACCATCTTCATGGGCTTGGAATCCTGTTGTCCTTCAGACTTGAGTTTCCATCCTGCCTCTGTTTGTTATTTCCCAGCAGGTTACTTTGAAAAAGTTGCTCAGCTTCCCTGAGATTTGAGTTTATTTAGATAATAATATCTAAAGAAATAATATCCAGGTGATAATAGCATTGCCATCACAGGGAGTTACGAAAATTCAGTGAAAAATTGCCGATAAGCTCTTAACACAGGCTGAGTCCTGAACATGTATCTAATAAATGAGAGCTCAAATTAAAACAACAACAATACAACACACCAGCATGTGGGGATCACTATGTTCCAAGAACTTCTAAAATCTTTACATATACAGATGAGGAAATTATGGCACAGAAAAATGATGTAACTTGCCCAAGCTCACACAGTCAGCAAATGATGCACCCAGAAATCAAACTCAGGTAGTCTGGCCCCAGAGATCGTCTTCTCAAACTGTTAGGCATACTGTGTCTCTCTGACTATCACTTTCGATTATTAATGACAGCTCTACTCTTTCTCTTGAATTTCCGAATCATATGACTTAAAAAAATTAAAAACTGTGGATTTTCCACAGGTTCCTCAGATACAACATACTCAAAGGAGTCCCTCAAACCTGCTCTCCACTCACGCTCCTTTCTCGGGAGTGGATGATTACACCCAGGAATCCTGGTGTCTCATTAGGTTGCTGGCTTTCCCTTTTAGGTAAAGAACAATTACAAATACATTTTACTTAATATATTATTCCTCAAAATGAAATTTTAAAGTCAATTTGATCTATTTTTTTTATAAGAGTTTATTTAAGTCAAACTGACAAAATACACTGGGGAGGAAGCAGTATCTCAAATGCTCCCTTAAAACAAAATGAAATTCTAAATAAAAAAAAATTTTGGAAAGTAGTAGATAAAGGCTTCAAATAAACAATAATCACTGTTAAATGATAAGCACTGTGCTTGGTAATTATGTTTATTTTCTCTAATCTTCTCAAGAGTTGGCCTTGCATAGTTGAAGAAACAAACTCAGAGAGACAAGTAACTAGCCCAAAGTCAACAACTTGCAAATGGCTAAACAGGGTTGGCTTGTTCTTTCTTTATATTCTACTACCATAAATTAGGCTTCTCATAAAAAAGTACTCAAATTTTATTTAAAATATACTTCTTATAAAAGTTATTTTTCAAAATTTTATGAGGCTCTATGGCTATATGAAAGCAATAAAATTCAGTGAATAGATGAATTTGTAACTCCTAGTGATTGATGTACTTTAAAAATATAATAATAATAATAATGAAAGTTGAATGCCACATAAGAAATACCTAGGCAGAAGAAGTAAAATGTTATTTTAAAACCAAGTCTTTTGTTTCCTGTTTCATATTATAATCTGTTGATATCTGCAAAGATATATCTTAATATTCAAACTTGCGACAATTTCCTAAAAAAAGAATTTAGGTATAAATGAGAAACAGACAAAGTTTACTCTTAAGGAGAAATCTTGGCAAGAAAATAAGAATACCCTTAACAAACTATGAAAAAAAAAAAAGGTCAACTTTACTATTTAAGAACTAATAATTACCAAATTTGATAACACCCAGTGTTGGTAAAGAAACTGTCTTCCTCATTTACTACTGGTGATATCCTTAATTGCAACAAACTTTTTAGAAGATAATTTTGCAATGCATATTGAAATTGAAATATATATACCCTTTGCTTTAGCAATTCCATTTAATCCTGGCAAAAGATATATATGTACACAGGTGCTGACTACAACATTACAGATAGAGGAAAAAAACCTCCAGAAAATGAAATGTGCACTAATAAGAACTTTCTTAAAGATTTTGTCATGTAGTGGTATAGTGAAGTACATTGTGGTCACTACAAAATATATTGATGTGAACAGACACCCAAAATATATTGCTATGTGGAAAGTGCATGTTATAGACAGTTATGGACACCATAGCCTCATTTATGTTAAATATATTGTTAAACAAGGTAGCTATTAGACTGGTCGACTCTGTTGCCATGGTGGCCTATATAGGCAAACCAGAATCTAAGACTCAGAGTTATAAAATCCAAAATTTAAGGACAACCAAACACAAACAGGTTAAAAGGCTTTAAGCTATAAACAACTCAATAATTTCCTTTCTTTGCTTCCTCTCTTTATATAAGTCTAGCTGCTGTTGGTAGAGTGCTTCTAACCATTTCTAGCTTGGTGCTGCCCAGTTTTAATCAATTTTTGATCAAATAAATTCTTAAAAAATTTAATATGCTTCAGTTTATCTTTTAACAAAATGCACACATATATGCTTCTACATTCCTAGAACATTTATGGATTTATATACAAGAAATTATAGCCAGGAGTTATCACTAGAAGAGGGAGAAGACTCTAGTTTCCCACTGTGTAATTGTATATTATTTTACCATGAGTAGCAGTGATTTTATAAGAATAAAGTTTAAACATAAACACAATCTGTAATAGATAAAACATGTTCCTTGTTCCTCACAGAACATTTAAGACCTTAGTGATTCTAACTGTACCATACCTCAGAGTGCAGAGCAGATTGATGAATTACATCCCAAACAGTACCACCACTATGTGGCTTCATAGTTGGGGTTCTAAAAGGAAGGGAAGAGAGGAGAGGGGAGGGAAGGGGAGGAGAGGGGAGGGGAGGGGAGGGAGGGAGGGGGGAGGGGAGGAGGAGAGGGAGGGGAGGGGGAGGGGAGAAGGGGAGGGAAGGGGAGGGGAGGGGAGAAGAAGAGAAAACTGCACACATTTCTTCACATCTGTTGGAATTTAGAATTAATTTTTGATTTCCAGGTGACTATTTTCGTGATTACCCAAAAGAGAGACTAGCCAGGTACCATTGAACCCCAAGAGTCTCTGCTTCTTCTTTACATATAAATTTTCCATCTTTTGCCCTCAATAAATCCCCAGGAGCAGACACTTCTTCCTTGTGATTCTGCTGTGCCTGTCTCAAAACTGACCCTGCTTCACTTTTTCCCATTCCCTTTGTCTATAGCTAATGGAAATCCTTTCAGAATGGCTTTCCACTACCACCACCCCACCACGTATTAAAAAAGAATGCTTGCAAATCTCCAGGACAAACAGTCGTGCTGTGTTTTCTACCTGGCCATGCTGCAGGGGGTCTATACCCAATGCCCTAAGGTCAGCTTTTTTTTTTTTTGCTAGCAATGGCCTAAAAAATCCTTTCTTTTAAAAAGACTCTCAGCCATAGAAGTTAAAATGTTTTAACACCATGTAAAGCATTTAAGTAACAATACTCCAGGCTTTTACAGGGAGTTGAAGGTTAACTGTTCTGCATCATCGTTTTCAGTCCTGTGCTAATTAAAGGCCTCAGTAGAATTAGAGAAAACAATGAATTCCACTTCTTTTTCCTCATCTCCTCCCTCCTTTTGTTTTCTTCTGTCCCATCCACTCCCCGCTTCCTTCCCTCCCTCTCTGATTGCAAACAGAGGAGAAAAGAGAAGCACCAGGTTCTCAAATTAATTGATAGAGTTTATTGATCAGTTTTTACATTCCGATCAATAAATCAATTAACCATTCCATGTGAAATGTCAGTGTCATCAACCTGTCAGTATCTTGTGCCAAGTCTCTTACTATTTAGTGGTCTCTTCTCTTTCTGGGTTCATGGCCAAGACCGCATGCAGAAGTCCACTGTTCTGACATTCCATCTCACGACAGCAATAGAATTACCTTTCCATATTCAATAAGAATATATCTATCCATTTGCCCACAGATGCTTGTTGAGTTATTTCTAAGGCTAAATGCTTTCCATGTATTATACTAGTCAATCCTTTCAAGAACCCTAAAAGGTAGATCATTGACATTTTGTTAAAATAGAAGCTGAGCCAGGTTAACTAATTCTCTCAGGCTTGTGTAGCTAGAAATGTTGGAAGCTAGGATTTCCTTTTATAACTGTCTAACTCCAAAATTCATGCTCTTTTCAGTTTGCCTTGATGCCTCTGTTTGTTCTAAATCCTAATCGTCTGACAGCCATTAATGTATTCTAAGGAAACAAACTAGTCCATACAAAGTGTCCTTTACAGATCATTATCAGATTGTCCCTTTTCATGGCTTTCTTATGAAAATATGGCTTTGACAGTAGAATTGTAATCGGAGTGAAGAATGAAGGACAGAGCTAAGGAAAAGGACACCATTGGCCCAAGAGGACCTAGATTGTGAAAAGTGGTCATGACAATTTCCACACTTGAAATTCTTTAATGGTTACCCATTGGCTTTTATTTGTTCAACTAATACTTAGTGGGCACCTACTAAGTCCCAAATATTGTTCATCACACTGTGGATATAGCAGCAGGTAAAACAGACCAAACACCTGTCCTCGTTATGCTTACATTACAAAGAGGTGATGAGAATAAAATCATGTTATGATATGTGTGCATGGAAAAAAATAATAGAGCAGGTCAAGAGGTTTGAGAGTGTCTTTATTGTAAAATCATCGTTTGGCCATCATCTACTGTATACCACTCAAAACACCACAGTCAATGCTCCATCTATTTGAAGTTTCTTCAGTCTCATGTTTCCATACTACCTAGTTGTTAGTCTTCAAAGTAAAAAATACCCTTTTCATGACACCCTCAAAATTCTTCTGATACCTTCAAAGTCTTGTTTGCATGCCAAAGCGTTCATTTTCCAAAACAATTAAAAATAATAAAAAAAGCACTAAACTTGTACTTGAATGCAATATTTCTCTTGTTGAGTTCGGAGAGGTCGCGTTTCGAGGGTTCAGAACAGTACGTAGACAAACATTTTTAGAAGCGCATACGTTAATATAAATAGTGTCTGTTTCTACATTAACTTTCTTCTCACAGGCCATGTTTGCAAAACAGCTGCAGATAAAATGATCTGCAAAGAGTTTCAGGTCTTCAACTGTTGGTTCCCCTTTTATTGTGAACTGTCCATTTTCCACCAATTCAACAGTTAAATGAATTGGGTTCAGATGAAGATAGGATTCTGTATTCACGTCTTTCCTTGTGCAAACGCCTTTCTCCTGGCAAAACACTTGACTACACATTTTGGCTGCTAGGGTGACATTGATTATGTAAGGATTCAGTGTGGTGTTCATGTAACCCTGTAGTTTCCTGCAGGTGTCCTGTAAAATTATAAGGAGGTCAGCATATCAAGGTCCAAGTTAGCTCACATGTGAATTAATTCACTGCAATTGGGAATTGCTAAGGAAGCACAAAAAAACAGACCCAGCAAGGGTTAGGAAATATTTTATCTTTTTTAGCTTAACAAGCAAGATTATTCTGTTTTTTGTAGGTTTTTTTTTTTTTTTTTGTAACATTTGTAAGTTTCACATGCTATTTCATGCCACTGAAATAATTGACTAATTGACACTTTAACCTTGGTCTTCCTCAATTATTCATAAACTAATGGGGGGTTCTGGGGTCTAGCTGGTCCGATTGGATTGAAGTCCCAGTTCCATTAATAATTAGCAATGTGAACTTGGGAGTCTCATGAGCTTTCTAAGTCTTAGTTTCCTATTTGGGTGACCTTGGGCAAATCAATTAACCTGACTGCGCTTTAGCTTCATCAGCTATAGAACAATATAATGATAGCACCTATCTCATGTGGTGGTTGTGAAGATTAAAAGATATACGGTATATAAAAGTGTTTAGCACAGGGCCCAGCATATTATTAGTTAGTCCTTAAGAAGTTATAAATAGATGTAATAAGTATCACACACTTGTCAGATAAATTTAAACAGCATTGGAAAAAGTAGTTTCTAAATTGCTAGCTCAGCCCTGACCACTTTGGCTCAGCAGTTAGAGCATCATTCCTTAGACACAAGGGTCACAGATCACAGATTCGACTCCCAGTCAAGGGTACGTACTTGGGTTGCAGGTTCTATCCCGGTTGGGTTGTGCGGGAGGCAACCAAGAGATGTGTCTCTCATATTGATATTTCTTTCTCTCTTTCTCTCTCTTCCTCCCTCCCTTCCACTCTATCTAAAAATAATGAATGGAAAATATCCTTGGGTAAGGATTAACAAACAAAAATAAAATAAATTTCTAGCTCAAAACAAGTAAACATGAAGTTCAACTGAGTATACTTTACATTAAACATTAGGAATAGTTCAGGTTATGGATGAATTATAACAGCTCCTTTCCAAATATACTTATTTGGCAAAGTATGAGTGATGAGTAACTGAAATGATTCATCTTGAAACTAGTACATTCTAAAACTGGGACACTGTCTTTTTAAAAACAAAGAAGATAGTCACTGTCTTTCATGAACAACCATATCATGGGGTGAGCTGGCTGTGCTAGACCTTCAGCAAACCAAAGGAACTGGTGGTGGTAGGTCAACAAATCAAGAAACCTTGGCATCTGTCACTTGAATCTATTTCTTATTACCTTCCTTGGGATGATACCATCAGTGGCAGACAGATTAAGAGCCTTTCAAGGACATTCATACCTTAATCCCCTGGAACCTGTGACTATGTTAATTTACATGACAAAAGATACTTTACACATCTAATTGAGGGTATGGACTTTCAGATGGGGAGATTATCCTGAATTATCTGTGTGAGCTTAATCTAATCATGAGTCCTTAAACTAGAAACTTTTCCAGCTGGAATAAAAAAAAAGAAAAGAAAAGAGTTAGATGGAATAAGGAGGAAAAATTTAAAGGTAAAAGAGTATCAACCCAGCATTGTTGGCTTTGAAGAAAGAAGAGAAGGCCAAGAGCTAAAAAAAATATAGTGACCTCTAGAAGCTGGAAATGACCCTTAGCTGCAGCCAGCCAGAAAATAGATTTTATTACTGTAAATAAGAAGATATTGATTCTGCCAACAACTGAAATGAGCAAGTGAGGATTCCCTACCCCTAAAAGGAAGGTAATCCTGCTGCCATCTTGATTTTAAGCCTCTTGTGACCCATGTTGAACTTCTGAGCTACAGAACTGTAAGATAATAAATTTGTTGTTTAAACCCCTAAGTTAATTGTGATTTCTATGGCAGCAATAGAAAACCTCTTTTTCTTCTTTTATTGATTTTTTAAAGAGAGGAAAGGAGAGAGAGAGAAAAAAAATATTGATGTGAGAGAAACATCGATCAGTTGTCTCACACATATGTCCCAACTGCACACACCCCAACCAGGAATCAAACTCACAACCTGGGTATGCTCCCTGACCAGGGAATCAAACCTGCCCCCCTTTGGTGCATGGGAGGACGCTCCAACCAACTGAGCCACAACAGCCAGGACAAGAAAACCTCTTCTAAAACTTCCAAAATCTTTTCTTTTGATAGAATAAAATTCAACTTCTCTCAACTTGTATATGGACTGATGTGGTATAATCCTTCCTCCTTCTTGTACAACCCACCTGCACTCATTCTACCTTAGGCATATTAGTTGTTTCACAAGCATAACGGTTTTGTTTCAAACTGTTCCCTCTGCTTTGAATACTCTTTCTTCCTAGTTCTAGCATGGTTCACTCCATCTTATCCTTCAGATCATAGCTTTAATTAGACAGTGCTCTTCTCAAACACCTTTTCTGTCTACCTTCACACATCACTTTAATTCTTTGCATAGTACATATCACATTAAATATTTTTCTGGAGTGTGCATTGTTTCTATCCCTCCAAATTTAACATGAGTTCAGGGACTTTGTCAATATTCTTCAATACTGTATCCCCAGTGCCAAGGATATATGAGAATTTATACCAAGTTCAGATGACATTGTAGTTGTCCACAGAAACAAGAGTTAGGCAAAAGGAAGAATCAAAGAATGAAAATGGTTTGGGAATCATTAAGCCTACACAAAGTGTCATCTTTGGAAAGATTTAAACTGGCTTTTTAAAAGATAAGACCTAATTTATAGCATTTGTTAGTACCTATGGTGTAAATACTCCTACCATAGCTAATTTTAACCTACCAATGTGACATCACTGAATGCAGAACTGAGAATCAGGTGTTCCACAATTACACAGTATGGTAGTATGGTGTAGAGTAGCACATCATTGCATAATATTTTTACTTATAGATACAACAGATGTGAACCCCAAGAAATAAAGTAATTGATACACTGTGGGTAATTATTACTTCGTTTTTAACACAGTTTATTTTATTCTAAGGTTTTAAAATTTAATTTTTAATAATGGCTATGTTGAACAACCAGTTCATAAAATTTATGAATATAATTTAACAATCAGGTCTCATGAGCTGCGACCAATAGGAGGTGGCTCTGTCACATCAATGGCTCTAACAAATGGAATAGAAAGAAGTGTTTGCTTACGTTTGATAACAATTTTTTTCAGTCAATTGGTAAATTTGCAATTAACTTTCTGAAGTTGTCAATGAATCTCAGGAAACATGACAAATAATCTATGACTATTGATTACAAATGATATAGGAGAAGAGGAGAAGCAGTACTAAAACTACTCAGAAACTACTGGGAAAGACAGCAGAAATATATAAAACAGAGTCCACAGGGACAATTATAAGGCAAAGTCATTAAATAGAAAATAGTTATATTAAAGCTGAAGAATTGTCCCTGTATGAATAAACATTAAAGGCAGTCTGAGCATCTCGATAGAAGAAAGTGAATCTAAGAAGAAAAATGCAAATAAAGTGTGGAAGCATGGAATGGACTGATGACTCTCAGAGGAAAGAGGGAGAGTGGGAAGAGATTAATCAACGAACTTATATGCATGTATACATAACCCATGGACGTGGACAATAGGGTGGTGAAGGCCTGAGGGGCTAGGAACAAAATGGAGGGGTCAATGGGGGATAAAAGGGGGACATCTGTAGTACTTTCAACAATAAAGATAAATTTTAAAAAATAAATACATTTTAAAACTAAATGGTATGTCACAACATCTTAATAATTGGGAAATGTCTAATTCATTCCTCATCAGAGTAAGAAGGAGTTTTCAGGGTTTTTTTGTTTTGTTTTGTTTTTTAAAAAAGGAAGTAGTATGAAGAATTTATAAATGTCCATCATAACCTATCAAAGAACCCTTGAGAAAGAAGTTTACAGATCTAGGAAAACAACTAATGAAAATTAGGAATATACTTAGGTGAATTATAATATTTAAATAATTCTCTGATATATGAAAGATTTTGCAAAAAAAAAACAAAAACAACATATATACTATTCTCTGAACTTACATTTCATGCTATTTCTCTTTATTGGGGATCAAACCAGAGGACAATAGAATTCTACCAAATAGGCAAAAGGGTTCAGATTATCTTGAAAGTATTTCACAAAGATGACTTTTGTTAAGTACTTTTATAAATGAAGTAAAAATATGGCTAATATCTCTAAGGACAAGAGATTAAAAGGTCTCTTCTGGTCTTAGAGTACAGTCTCTTCTCTGTGGGTCCTAGGATGAGACCCCTGGGCCATTAAGTTTATTAGACATTCTCCATGGTACCTACACCACTGGATTTCCACATCCATAAAAGAAGAAGGAGTTCAGCTCCAGTTCACCAGTGTCCATGTGACAGCTTTACTCTTGCTTTGAAACCAAGGTATAAAGAAGTAGAAGATGAAAGCCCTGACATGGAGAACTAAACAAGGATGAAAATGAAGGAAGACAAAAATGATTACGCCATGATAGTTAAAGACTTTTTGAACTAAAGAAAATGCATCAGGAGAAAATAAATGAAATTTACACTGTACAGACTGACAAATACATTTTTTCCTCATAAAATAGGTTTTACTTACAATAGACACTACTAAGTATAACCTGTGGAAAATAAAGATGGAAACTTTGAATAATTTACTAATATTTTCAAAAAGTAACTCCCAATTGCCCCCACACACCCCCATCACATTTTACTCTCTGCCTAGCCTTCACCAAATGACTCCTAAAGTCTTTTTCACCTCAGAGGCAACTTCTTCAAGCCAAAAAGCCTTGGAGTCATTTCAACCACTTCTCTTATCTATCCCACTAACCCAACCCCTCAGCCAGACCTCTTAGTTCTACTCTTGGATTATTTTCAATATCCAAACACCTGTGGTCCAAGCCATCAAGAGCCTCCTCTCCCTGCTCCCACGCTTGCCCCTCTCTAAAATCTACTCTCAACTCAGCTGTCATTCTTATGAAATGTTCATCAGAAATTGCCACTCTTCTGCTCAACC